ATAGTTTTGCTGGGTACAGTATTCTTGGTTGAAAGTTGTGTTATTTAAGTGTACGATAGATGCCATTCCACTGTCTTCTTGCTCTCATGGTTTCTGCTGAGAACTTTTTTCTTTTTTAATGGAGTGGGCTGAATGTCTTTAGTGACTGTAGAACCTGGAAAAGCTGTTACTGTTAATGATGTAAACACACTGCAATGTATCTATCTAAATACATATAAAATTGGGACTTTTAAAATTGTAGCTGTGCTGTAAACTTGTAAACTTTAGAAAAAGTATCCCAGTTGTACCACACTTAATAGGCATTGTACTGAAATTAACAACCACAGATGCATAGAAATGTTAAACTTAGGGGAGCTCTGGTGGCCTAGTGGCAAGAAGCTGCAACTACAATCCCAGAGGTGCACGGTTCAAATCCACCAGATGCTCTGCCGGGGAAGGAGGGGCCATCTCCTCCTGTACCAGTCAGATCTGATTTGACGGTACACTCACACAAAAATAATAAAATAAAATTAAAAAAAAGAAATGTTAAGCTTAGCTATTTTTTCCATTTGTACAGGGGTAACATACTGTGTATTAAGTATATATAAGGCTTTATTAAATGAGTGTGATTACAGAAATTAATAAAGTATTTCTGAATAATGAAAAAGTATATACTACTTAAATAACTTTCTCGTTTTAACACTCAAGAGAAATAAAGCTATTATACTAATTCCCTGATTGGCAAAGATAATCATTATTTTAACAAAAATCTGTGTTACATGCCATCATGTCGTCTGTGACTCATAGCAATCCTATGTACAACAGCTTTGAAATCTGCCCTCTCCTGAGCCAGTCTCACTTACTCTGACACACCAACCCCCATTGCCCCAGACACTGTATTAATCCATCTTATCCGGTGGCTTCCTCTCCTGCACTGTCCCTCCACCGTTCCAAGCATGATTTCCTTCTCCAAGGATCAGTCTCTCATGGCCACATGCCCAAAGTATGTGAGACAAAGCTTCAAATTCTTAGCCTCCAAGGAGAAATTTGGTTTCATCCTCTCCAAGACAGATCTATTTGTTTTCTTGGCGGTCCATAATATGTTCAAGACTCTTCTCCAGCACCACAACTCAAAGGTATCGATTCTAGTTCTGTCAGCATTTCATTGCCCAGCTCTCTGATGCATAGCAAGTAAATGTGAAGACCATGGACTGGCTCAGGTGTAGCTTAGTCTCTAGACTGACATCATTGCTTCTGAGTACTCTGGAGAGATATATTAAATGCTATATTATACTTTTATTACACTACCATTGGAGCTCTGGTGGCCTAGTGGAAAGAAGCTGTGCTGTAATCCCAAAGGCATGCAGTTCAAGACCACCAGATGCTTCGTGGGAGAAAGACTGGGCAATCTCCTCCTTTATGATTAAATGCCTCCGAAAACTTGCCAGAGAGTCAGCTATGGGTTGGTTCTGACTCTACAGTACACAACAAAAACAACACTACCTTTACTATTCTAGAGAGCTCTGGTAGAGTAGTCTATGAAGAACTGTACTGTTGATCCAAAGGCCAAGCTTCTCTGGTGGTCTGAATCCACCTGTTGCTCTGGGGGAGAACGATGGGCAGTTCTCTTCCCTGTGATTTGCAGCCTTTGGAAACTCCATGGAGGTTCAGCTCTGAGTTGGAACTGATTTAATGACCAGGAGTGGGTGAGTACTATCCCACCCCACTGTGACTGACTCAGTTCTGATTCATGGCAGCCCTCCAGCAAGTTTCTGAGGCTGTGAATCTTTACAGAAAGAGACTGTCCACCTGTTCCTGCAGAACAGCTGACAGATTTGAACTTCCAACCTTTTTGATTAGCAGCAGGACACCATAGGTTTTATTAAGCACTTAGTAGAAACACAGGGACAAAGAAATAGAAAAACTGTTCACAGTCCTACAGTCCTTGAACAGTGAGATTTAAGCAGTCTGATTCTAGAACTGACTTAGAATTATAGTACATAGCCTCTCACATGATCTTTTTTTTTAGTTTTTGTCCTTATAATTTTTTTCTATTGATCTGCATATAAAATTCATATACAGTTTGTTTCATTCATATATATTGTGTTTCACACACTCAAACATATTCACATTGTGTTTCATACATCATTCATATACATTGTATATTATAAAATTAATCACCACTGATGCACACCTACAATCTTTTTCAGGTACCCTGTCTTTTCAGGCCCCCACTGGATTTTTCCTAATTTCTTCACCACTGCCACCTCCTACTCATTGAACTCTGTTACTTAGTGACTTCCCACCTCCCCACTTTCACACATGATCTTTTGAGACAGACCTCAAACTAAGTTTATAATCACAAGGTGCTCAAATGAAATCTATGGCAGTCAATATTCCAAATTTGGACCATTCCTAACTGCTCATTCAAGTTCTATTTCATCCCTAGTATGTATATTCTGTTAGGCTTTTCTATCAAAAGTAAGTTGAATTGCTAGTGGCCTGATAAAATTCTAAAAATAAGGGAAAGGTAAGTCAAGGTAAAGGATAATGGAATAAAATAAGAATGTCTTAAAAAAGGGAAAATTTTTACCTGCCCCCTTATATTCCCTCCACCTTAGAACTGTACCCACACCGCCCTATAGGCTCTGTCTGTGATCAAAGGGCACTAGCATAAATCTTATCACCTGGTAACTTTCTAACCTTAACAGATGATCTTTGGTTGGGTTCCTCTCGTGGTTTCAGGGCTCCTACTCCAAGAGTTGGGAGCTGTGTTTGAAAGACAGACATTCGACCACCAGTTGGGGACATCAACTTAAAAGCAGCCTGAAGTGCAGGGCCCAAGGCACTCTGGGTCTCCAGGGTCTTGTTAAACATTTGTGGCAAAGTTTTCAGTAAATCTTGGACAAGCTTGTGGAATATAAAGCAAGAAAGTAGAGAATGTTACCACTTAATTTTTTTTCCCCCACAGTAAATCAGTAACTAATACAATAGACAAGACACTGAGTCATGATGATGGTCAGAGAATCTACAGACAGTACAATAAACAATGAAGTTGGTCAAATGACAAGAAAGCCATTTTAAATCAACATCATAAATTGGCAAGCACGACAAATTAAAATTGGGGCCTTACAGTTCTTGCACATGCAATAGTCTAGCAAGACTATAAGTCCAAATTTTATCCAAAGAACCATTCCAGTTTAGATTTCATTTTAATGCCATGCAGTATGGCCTTCTCAATTACCTCTACACACTTAATTCTTTCCATTTTAAAGTGAGTTTAATTCTTCCTCCTTGTAAAATCTAAAATAGCTAGGAAATTTGTCAACTAGTAGTATCACTATAAAAGAAAAATAAAACAAACAATGACTACCTATTTAAGATGTTTATAATTACAAATAGAGTCAATGGGAAAAAATACTTTGTACTATGGAAAAATCACCACTGCCAACTGCTGAGACCATAGACTTGCTGATTAAAATGTTACCCCTACGGCATATATGCATGTACAGGGTAGACAACGCCCCCCCTCAGACACATTCTGTTCACCTCTCACTGTATTATGTCATGGCAATTTCCAGGCAGGTAATAAGAGTTTCTTCTGAACTGACCCCAATGACACTCTGTGAATCAGAAAAGCAAAGGGCACTGAAAGCAGCCTAGCTCATGTGCTTCTGCGTTTTGACCAGAAGCTTCATCTCAGCAACCCTCCCAACTTCCCACACGGCTAGCAAGACAAGTCCCTGTCAGACCTCCTCTTCCGTGAGACAAGCTCATCCTACGACATACACCCTGCTGCGTAAGACTTAAAAATAGTCAGTCCAAGGACAAACTCAAGAGCTGTTCAATCTGATGGAGTTTAACTTTGACCAAATATAAAAGGCTATCACAGAAAGAAGCAAAATTTTAATTCAAATTAATTTCAAAAACATATTTCTTTCAGTGTAAATATACATGTCAGATAGGAAAATATGCCTTACCTCTTTACTTTCATTTAAGTTTACTAATAAGTTCTCTGGCATAGGTATAAAAACATCTGAAAGAGTAAGTACATATTCGTTAAAAACAAAATTTAACCAAGATATTTCAAATTAACCACCTTCACACATTAAAAAAGCCAACTCCTCCATTTTTAAAAACTTGTCTACACATGACTCGAGCCACAAAAGGCATACCGATTCAGGTACTCATTGCCTACTAGCTTATAGCAAAGCCTCACAATCTAAAAATATTGATCTGTAAGAACTCAAACAGGATTTGAGCAAGTACTCTGCTTCATAAGTAAACATGACTTTAGGATTCTGCTTACTATCTTGGTTGCACTTGAAAACTGGTAAAAAGCTCACTTGGCATTAAAAAACGTGCTAACTGGCAACACACACGTGAATGCTGTTATTACTGGAACTTGCTAATAGCTCTGCCTTGCAAAAAGCTTCTCAGCCTTTTGGCTAAGATCAAGTATAGTATGTAGTATCTCATAAAGAGGACTCCCACTAGCAACTCTTATTTATTATTATTTTTTTATTATTTTCTGTGTGTGTGTACTGTCAAACTGGATCTGACTGGTACAGGAGGAGATGGCCCGTCCTTTTCCAGCAGAGCATCTGGTGGAATTGAACCACCTATCTCTGGGATTGCAATGCAGCTTCTTGCCACTAGGCCACCAGAGCTCCCCAAGCAACTCTTAATGAGATTACAAAATTGATTAGTAAGGTATGTGCTAACTAACCACTCAATTGAGTTTCTTAATATTGAAATATATTCTTGTGTAGGAGTTGAATTTTCTTCCTTAGAGGGAAATACACTAAAAACATGGGCAGGGGGTAGAGATGAAGGAGTGGGTGGAAAACTACAAAAGTCTCACTTTCTACTTTTTTGTGCTATTTGTTTTTAAATAAAAATTGAGACTCATTATAAAGTTTAAAAGTTATAATTTAACAATATCTAACCACTTTCTAAGATACCACTCATCTACCATAACAAGGAGCTCTAGCGGCTGAGTGGGGAAGGAGCTGCACTGCCAACCCAAAGGTGGTGGCTTTAAGGCACCCGCTGCTCATCAGGAGAAAGATGAGCAACCTCCTGCGAGGCCTCTGAATACTCATGGAGGGGCAGCTATGAGTGGATTCCAACTTCACAGCAATGATTTTTGAGGTTTGTTGGGGTTTTTGGTAAATGGAAACGGATGCATTTTAACACATCACCTCTGGATTTTTTAAAGCATGCACTCTTGTGAAAAACTTGCTCTTTAAAGAGTATAATTTGGCCAATTTTAGAATGTTCAGAGTTGTGCAACCACTGCCTAATTCTGGAACCTTTCCATCATCTTAGAAATTAACCCCACAGACATTAAAACTCAGATCCCTTTTTCTGCGTTAGTCCCCTACCCACTAAATCCTGGCAACTACTAATTTACTTCCTCTCTCTATTGACTGCCTATTTTGGATATTTCCTACAAACAGACTCATAACATGAGGTCTTTTGTGTCTGGTTTCTTCCATACAGCACGATGTTTCAAGGGGAGCTCTTGTGGCATATAGTCCATAGCAAGGCACACAAACCTAGAGGGCTCACAATTCCAGTGGTTTGAATCCTACAACACTCTAAGGGAGAAAGATGAACTCTCCCTTCCCACTGTGATTTACAGTGTTGGAAATTCAATGGGGGGGGTCACTATGAGTCTGAACCAACTCAACAACAGAGATTTTTTTTTTATTTACAGTTGTGGGGTTTATTAGAAAGATGGTTTAGGGAATATGGGAGGCAAAGAATATTACCAATACAAGTCCAGGTTTATTCCAATAGTCCTAAGTCAGAATAATAGCTAGCAAGACACAATTCTTTAATTAGGGAAAGTCCAGATTCAGTTCAGCAGCACAAAAGCAAGAAACCTCTGGTTTCCTTAGTCATCCAGTAAACTTTATCTCAGGGTAGTTACAAGTCAGCTTTCCCATCAATCATCCAGCAAGCAAAGTCTTTTAATGTGGCTCCATCTCCAGGATTCTTCTGGTTATATCCTTCCACAGTCTCTTTACAGTAGTGCCACAGCCTCTTCCTAGTCTCTCCACTACCATCATTTCTGAATTTACAGTGCAGAAAGCACTCTCTTATATTGGTCCCACAGCTTTTGATGATTTGCAAAGCCATGTTCACAGTTAAGGTAGTTGGAGACCATGCCCCTAGACAGCTCTCAGTTTATTGCCTTCAGATTTACAGAATAACAACAAGTTGGTTTCTTCTATTCCACTTCTAAAGATTGACTGTTGCTGCTGCTGGCTTTTTTTCACCCTGTGACCCTATGCAAAATAGCTTTTGGGAATGGAATAAATGTGGATATCCTCTAGTCATTTGACCACGTAGTTGTCTGAACAACAGAGATTTAAGTTTAAGGTCCATCTCAGCTGTTACATTTATCAATGCTTCAATAATTTTTATAGCCTTTTAATATTGCATTATATTAACATACTTCATTTTGTTTATCTCTTCATCAGATGATGGTTACTTGAATTGTTTCCAACTTTTTTGTTATCTGCTATAATAGGTTTTTAATTCTCTTGGATATATACTTAATAATGGAAATGCTGGATCATATAACAACTCTAAGCGGAGCTGTGGTGGCATAGTGGTTACATGTTAGGCTGCTAACTAAAAAAGTTGGTGGTTCTAATCTATCAGCCACTCCTTGGGAGAGAGATGGAAGAAATCCTCCTTTGAAGATTTACAGCCTTAGAAAACTCAGAGGACTGCCACGGGTCAGACTCAATGGCAACAGGTTAAGGTAACTCTGAAGAGTCCTCGTGGACCAACAGTTAAGAGCTTGCTACTAACAAAAAGGTGAGCAGTTCAAATCTACTAATTACTTCTCAGAAAGGAAGACTTGATGATAAGTGCCTATAAAAATTAGAGCATCGGAAGCCTTACTGAGCAGTTCTACTCTGCACTATTAGGGTCACTACAATTTGTAATCAATTTGAGAGCATATAATAACTGTGCAGCTCAAGGTTGAACTTTTTGAGGAACTATCCATTATTTTACATACTGGTTAGACCACTTTACATTCTCATTAATAATGCATGGGGGTTCTATACATTTGTCAACACTTGCTGTTATTAGTCTTATTTACTGGAGTTTTGTATTTTCTTGATGTGGAGCATACTGGCCACTTGTTTTAAGAGAATACTGAATATTTTATATTGACTGGCAATGTGTCTACTAACAGCTCCTGCCAATTTTTACATTAGATTGTCTTTTTATTAAATTGTAGGAGTTCTTAATGTACTCGATGTATATATTCCTAATCAGATACATGATAAAGAAATATAATCTTATCCTGTAGATTATATTTTCACTTACTGATAAAGTCCTTTAAAACACAAAAAAGTTTCAATTTTACTAAAATTGTAATTTCTTTAGTAGCTTCTACTTTTAGTGTCATAACTAAAAAAACCCACTGCCTAATCCAAGGTTATAAAAATTCACTTCTTTTTTTCTCTAGCAGTTCCATAATTTTGGTTCTTAAGCTTTTTATATCTATAGTCCATTTTGAAATAATTTTGTATCTATGTGAGGCAGGAGTCTAATTTTATTACTCGCCAATATGGATATCCAGTTGTCTCAGTACTATCTGTTAAGCTGCTTCTTTTTAAAATAAAGTACTATACTCTTCAATCTTTGACAATAACGAGAGTTAAAGAAATGGTCCCATTTTCTTCTTATAGTATTTATTAAACTATAAACCCAGAAAAAAGTCAACCAAACAATAAAACCCACAAGTAAAAAGTTACCTGGACTCAGTATAGTTTTGTTTAGCTTGTTAGCCCCCATGACACCTAACAAAGTGTATGTGATAAAAATATGTACCTGAATCACAAGAACATTAAGGCCTGAAAAATACCTTAACAGATGAACCAGTCAAATCTCCTTTTATATAAGAGGCTTCAAGAAAGCCTCTGTGGCCTAGTGGCAAGACACTGCACTGCAATCCCAGATGTACACGGTTCAAATCCACCAGATGCTCTGCTGGAGAAGGAGGGGGCAATCTCCTCCTGTATCAGTCAGATCTGATTTGACGGTACACGTAAAAATAATACAATAAAAATTTACAAAAAAAAAAAAGCCTAATCCTAAAACTCCATAACCAGCACATTATTTAGCCTGACACAACTGTTAAAAGAAATACAACATTAAGAAGCTTTCATTATCAGTATTTAATTATTGCTCATGAAAGTCTTAACACATAAATAGAACTGATTATACACCTATAAATCTTAGATTTCATCCTCCAATTTATGAGAAGACATTAAGATATTTTGGAGAGAGAGAGAGAGAAGGAAAGAAGAAAACAAGAAGCCTCTCTGCCCACCCAATCCATTCAGTACCTCTCTTCATTTTCACTGACATCATTTTATCTATATCCTTCAAAGTAAGTAACTTCATCTAATTTTAGTTTATTTTCCCCCCTTTATTAAAAAGTAAGCTCCATAGTGACAGGGACCTTGTCTACTTTGTTTACTATTACGGTCCCAGAGCGAAACCCGAGCATTGAAATTCTTTTTGAATGCATCAATGAGTGGTAAAAAGGGATTAATTTAGCCTGAGTTTTAACATTAACCTGCTTCTGTTGCCTTTCTCAGAATTTACCTCAATAGCCTTGTTTCCTCTTAAAAATGAGAGCCTGAATTAAAGAACTATTGAAGCTCTAACAATCTTTAGGAGTTTATAGTCAGGATTGTGACTGATAACAGCAGACTCTCATTATATATGTCATACTTTTTAATTTGTTAATTAGTTACAAAATATTTTTAAAGTACACATTTCCTAACGCATTTTAACAATTTTAAGAAAATAACATATACCTTCAATATCTGAAACTACTAGCATCTGTGGTTGAGAGAGACCTTCTTGAAGACTGTAAAAATGGATTGTACTGTCAAATGTTATGAAGCCAATTTTTGTTCTAGTGTTGCCAGGAAGCCTAAAAGCAAATTCAGAAGAGTATTTTATAAAAATTTCCCATAAGTAATATAAATAAAATGTCTACTAAGAGTTACATGCAAATATCTAACTTACTATTATAAAAATGATACTAAGAGACAGAAATAATAAACCCAAGAAACTCAAAGTGTGACACATAGTCAAACAAAAATTAGCAGTTAACACAACAAATAAAAATTAATTACATTTATATAAACTTATTATTTCATAATTTAGTAAATAATATATACAAATATTTAAAAGTACATATAAAACCTTCCGGATGATTTTAAGTTATTTTACAAAGACTGCTATAAATAGGATCATACGCTAAAAAAAAAAAATTTAAAAAACTGGTTATATGCTAACTCTGAAATATTATATAAATCATACTACAAAAAATAGAAACTATCATACTGCATGTGCAGTGCTAAAAAATTTTGCCCGAATTTCTTCGAATACTGTTTAACATATTTATTTAAGATCAAAGAGCAGCAATGCATTGTTTTTAACAACTCAAAATATGTGGAACTGCAGTTTCACAACAGGAAACACAAATTATATTGTTGTTCATGCCTGAAAGTCAGCTTCTTTTGTCAACAGACAATCTACAATGTTAAAAATGGGGGGAGCTCAGGTGGCCTAGTGGCAAGAAGCTGCACTGCAATCCCAGAGATATGCGGTTCAAATCCATCAGAAGCTCTGCCGGAGAAGGAGGGGCAATCTTCTCCCGTACCAGTCAGATCCGATTTGACGGTACATACAGACATAAATAATAAAATTAAAAAAGAATAAAAATGGTAAGCACAATGATGCCCTTTTCACTCCAGTGAGGAAGTTCTTTTCTAATTAGATCTGGTCCTCCACACCATACAACAGAGCTGTATTTTATTACATAAAATTTTATGAAATCAAAGTGCATTTAAGAATTTACACTAGGCATATAAGAACCACTTAAAATACAGGTATTTAAAAAAAAAGATTTAAGAGACATTACAACCAAATGCAATGTGTGAAAAACATTTTTAAAATAATCAGGAATAAAAAGTAAAAGGGTACTAGATCAGTATAAAATTATTACTGTATTTTTTTGCCCAAGAAGATAACATATCCATGCATAGTACACATGGGAAATTAATGCTTTGAGGGGCTGAGTTATTTAAAATCCTAGATGATGTGTTTGTTATTTGGATATAATACGGTGTTCGTTTTGTTTGTTGTATTAGTTATGTACTGTGGAAGCAGAACTGACTCATAGCTGACCCTATAGTGGGTTTTCTGAGGCAGTAAACTTTCTCTTGTGGAGCATTTAGTGGATTCGAACTGTATGCCTTTGGGTTAGGAGCTTAACTCCTTACCACTAAGCCAACAGAATTCCCTATGGTACTAGGAGTTAGGATTAAAAAAATTCTGAGGTTTTTTTTTTTTAAACAGTCCCTTGGTAAGGACTATCCACTTTAGCTTTGTATCCAAAGACGAAATTTGTAGGTGAAAGGAGTTAGGAGTTAGCCTTCGTTACAGACTGGTTCATTTCAGGGTCAAAAATATGGAACGCTTCACGAATTTGCGTGTCATCCTTGCGCAGGGGCCATGGTAATCTCTGTATCGTTCCAATCTCTGTATCGTTCCAATAAATTCTGAGGTTTTACAAGTGAAGTTACATGCTGTCTAAGATCTGCTTCAAAATACTCAACAGAAAAATGTTTATTAGAGGATTAAACAGAAACAGAAGAATGGTAGAAACACTGGTGCTTTCATAATAAAGATTTAAACAAAATACTGCTCCTAATGGCAAATGAGACTGCAGGTAAAAAGTGACTTCAATGTATTTTTTTAAAAGAATAATGAAGAAGCCTTATTGGTATGCTTCATGTTAGGTTGCTCACTTCATCACTCATTGCTCTTGAGTGAGTAACAACTCCTAGTTGACTTTCTACCAGGTTTTCAGAGGCTGTAAATCACACAGGAGGGGACTGCCAATCTTTCTCCCTCAGAGCAGTTGGTGGATTCAAACCACCTGCCTTTCAGTTAGCAGCTCAGCTCCTTACCACTAAGCCATCAGAGCCTTCCTGTTAGGTGCTTCTTGTTGTTATGCACCATTGAGTTGGAACCAATTCACTGCTCTCCCTCCAGTAGGTTTTCAGAATGCTGTATATCTCATGAGAGGAAAGTACCTATCTTTCTCTCACAGTGTAGCTAGTTGATTTGAACTCTGTGCCTTCATGTTGGCAGCATAGCTCCTTACTTCTAGGCCACCAGAGATCCTTGTTAGGCAGCTAGGTAGTTCTAATCCACCAATTTCTCTGTGAAATCAAGATGAGGCATTTTCTTCTTGTTTCATTGGAAACCCAGTGGAATATCATAAGACAGAACTGACTCAACAATGGTGGTTTTTAAAAAACTAATTACATTTTGCCACGTATATTCACAATAACAAGAATATAAACACAATTTGGGGGAAGTAGCATAACTGCATTTTGGAAATTAGTTATTAATTTTGTAAACATAGTTAATTTTAGATTTAAGCTAAATTAAGACACTTACGAATCCAGATTGTCTAACAAACTCTGGCAAACTGAATTCAAGTATCCAGTTTCAACTGCATTGTGAGACACATCGAATACAAAGAGGTACACTGGCGGTTGAGGTGGTCGTAACTGAAGAAACAAAAGGATCTCATTAAAGGTATTCACCAGGATCAAATTTATACTTATCTTTGCTATATAACTAAAAGATTGTGTTCAAATACAGCAAGCTGTAAAAATAAGCATTATTTCACATTGAGTGGAGACTACATAATAGACAATAATGGATAGAGTATAGGAAAGAATTTTTAAAAATAGCCAAAACTATGCTATACTGTAACTAAATAATACTATTCATTCCATCATAGTGATGAAAGAAAAAATGAGGATGTGATTGCCTGAGGAGCCAGGGGAGTTTTCCCTCTAAGGTAGGGAAGGGCTTGTGATCAGAATAACTTCCGGGAGAACAGGCAGTATTACTCTCTTGGCCTGGGTATTACTAATACAGAGGCTTACTTTATATTTATTTGTTAATCTGTACATTTATGTTTTATGTACTTCTGATACAGGTACCATATTTTCCAATTTAGGGGCAAACCAAGCTACCTGGTTATTTAACTAACACATTTTAACGAGATTACATTAAACTGTAATCTGTAACACTCCTTGTTTTAGCAAAGCTGTATTTTCAATCCCATAAAAAAATCCAAACGTCCAAAATCAAAATTGGATAGGCAATCTGTTATCTCTTTTCCTTAGAGGCAATTATTATGGCATAGTCAAAGAGTAGACAAACCAGGAAATCTGGATTTCTAGGAAAATGAAGAAGGATTAACAAGTTCTAAACCTTCCCTCAGAGACTTGTTTGTGAGGCTAAAAAAGGATATAAGTACTTTGTAAAAATGTGAAGAGCTAATTAAATATGGCTTAATTATCATTATATTTTAAAATTGCAAGACCTCTGAGGGCCATTCAAATACGGAAAAGTACTTGTAAAAGGAAATGTGTCACCGAATTACTGGTAACAAAAATCAGAAGTGGGTGGCTGCTGCAGCGTGGAGAACCATGGGTCAGGCGGCCAAGGTGACAGGGCTCGGGTGGGGATGGGTGCGATGCCAACGGCATAAGTAATATCAACTTTGCAAAGGTTGTCTGGGGTCTTTGTGTAGCTGGACTGGGGGACGCCGCACTGGGCGACAAGCCCCGGTACAGGTGCGGAGGAAGAAGGAAAGCACCAAGGTTTTACAACTCTTTAAAACATTGCACAGGACCAGACAACAAGTTTTTAAAAATGATGGGAGAGCACTAGAAGCAGCCAGACTAAAGATAAATGAAGAATTCAAAAATAATAAAAGTGAGACATCTCCCAAGAAAATAGAAGAGTTAATGAAAATGGGATCTGATGTTGAAATGTTACTCAG